GCTGTGTGTGTGCAGGTAGACGCTGTCACTGACTCCAGCTCACACAGAGAATACTTCACATATCTCTCAAAGGTTTTAAAGTGTGATTCTAAAATGTTTAGTGTTCACACTGTCCTGCAGAGGGATTACATGGCGGTGGGTTAAACTTTATTTTTATAGTTTACTGCAGAAATCTCCTGCCTGAACACAGTGAACCAGGATCTTGTGGGGCTCCCGGGGGCCCCGTTGCCATCCGCCCTGCTGCCTGTGTGAGAGTTTGCTGCGCTGGGTGTTGTCTTGTCTGCTAATTCAGTAAAAATGTAAACTGGGAGTGTTTCTGGGGAACAGATCCAGACTGTGAGTGGAACCTGAAGGGACTTGCTGTGGTTCTCTCTGCAGGCTCACACTTTGTGTTTGTTTCTGACTCTGGAGCGTTGCCACGGAAACCTGTGTTTAACAGCAGGTGAGGGGCGGGAGGAAACTCCACGTCCCCCCTCCAACAGCAGCAGGCGGACTGCTTTCCCTCCTCAGCCAGAGCTGGAAGGAGTGAAACAGACGAGAGAATAAAGAGTAAGAAGTGTCAGAGCGAACGTGTTAACGGTGTTTTTCTGTCCGACTGTTCAGAAAGAACTCAGCCCCACAAACTGCTTCCAGATCAGCTCATTAAACACACACACACACAGCGGGGGGAACAGATTCCTGTGTGATGGCGTCATGTGCAGCTGTACGTCCCCGGGGTCTAGACCCGGTCAGGACGGGTGGAGACTCCGGCTGGTGGGGGGGGGGGCTGAGTTTCCTTCCAACAGGCTGTTGTTTGGTTGTGAATGATCTCCTGTACGAGGCAGCAGGAACGCTCCTCATCTTTCTCTTCATAGATTTATATTTCAGACTTCAGGGACCAGTTTCCTTAACTCACAGTTAATCAGTTCCCCTCCACAGGAACCTGGAGCCTCTGGGGCCCCTCAGGGTCTGTCTGCTTTGCCCAGTCTACCAGACTGTGCACAGGCATCGGGTCTCTTTCACTACACGAGATAAAACCAGTTCCCAAACCCCCCACACTCATTTTAGTTCCAAACGCGCCCCAACATCATTTTGGTTCCCAAACACCCCCGACAGGCTCATTTTATTCCCAAACACCCCGCACATCATTTTAGTTCCCAAACACCCCCCACACTCATTTTAGTTCCCAAACACCCCCCACACTCATTTTAGTTCCCAAACACCCCCACCCTCATTTTAGTTCCCAAACACCCCCACACTCATTTTATTTAATACGTTGACTGTCATGTGATAATTGTGTTGTAGGCAGAAATGATGAGTCGTTTGAGGGTTTGGGAACCTCTTTAAAGGGTTAATATATGAGAGCTGTTATCTCTGTAATCGTACAGTGGCGTCGTGGTGTCTCCCTCGGTGTGAGTGTCTCATCTACGTCAGTGAATTCAGAAACCAGAGTTGGTGATTGTTGGAAACACTAACAGACGGTTTAATGAGTTTTATTGTTTCTGCCCACTTTGTGTTTTGTGTTTATTTGCGATGTAAAATCCCTGTTTTTGTGAATGGAGTCTGGTGGGCCGCAGTGCTCTGACATGCTGGAACTCCAGTGCCACATAAACAATCTTTAATAAAAATGAAATAAAAAGAAATTAAAATGTATTTATTTTGAAGGAAAAAGCTGATTTCTTCAGTTTAAAAAAACAACAAAAGTTAAACAATAATCTTCACATAAAGAAAATCCAGAGAATTATCTTTTAATTAATTTCTGTACATAAACCAGCACCAACATCTGCTTCCTGATTATTTTTCATCTTTTTCATTCGGTGGGTTTCATCTTCCCCTTTAACATTTACTTCCGTCCATGAAACCCCATGATGCCGCAGTTTCGACCTACGTCTCCTCAGCCATCTCCCTCTTCCTCCTCGTGGGATCCGATGGTCTGCAGGTCCGGCGGCGCCTCCAGCGCCCCCTGCTGCATGTGCTGGATGGACACCATGCCAGTCAGGAGGGCGTAGCTCAGCATGGCGCCCAGAGCCACCAGCACCGACATGAACTGCTTCCTCCGCTTGTTGGGGACGTGATCAAAGTCTCCGCCTTCGGGCTGAGAGGATGTCTTCTGACTGGAGCTCTCTGAAAAAACAACATGGAGGCCGTCAGCTGACAGTATGAGACCAGTTTGTCCAGAACAGAGTCCAGAGAACCTCCTGCAGACTTTGGTCTCTCTCATACCAGAGTCCACTGATAGAAGCAGTGATTGTAGCTCAGAGAACACGGTTCCTGCTCTACCGCTGCCTCCGTCCTAACTAACATTAGTCTCTGTGGATGGAGGCAGCGGGGACCACAAACTGATCTGTGAGGGCAAATTACTGCTTCTGTCAGAGTCTGCTGGCTTTAAAGAACAGATCGATGTTACAGCTTCAGTTGTCGTGGTTTCTGGATTCAATCGACCGTAAACAAAACAGGCCTTTATAGAGTTTGTGACGGTGCTTCCTGTCCTCCAGCTGCAGGCTGTCCAATAGGAACGCAGCGTCGGGACGTCAGATAAACTAACTAAAAACCAGGAATGAGACTGAAACCTGAGAAAACAGCTGGACCTTTGAACCATGAGTCCTAAAATGAGCTCACTCATGTCCTCACCCTCACAAACAGCGTCTTGATTAATGTCTCCAACGAGACAAAGATTTATATGATGTCATATAAACTTCACAAAGACAAATGATGAGAACAGCCGGCGGTTCCTCACCTCGGCCATCTCTGGGGAAGTAGAGCAGCAGGATGTTGGTGCAGAAGTTGTTCAGGTTGTCCAGAGATCTCAGATGCTGCTGCAGTTTCCCGTTGGGCAGTTTGGACTTGAGGATGGGCGCTAGGTGACCGAAGACGTAGGCGTCTAGAGAGGAAGGCCTGAGAGGAACAGATTCATCTTTACAGAGATATTCTGATCAATATATAATAATCATAATAATAATAACAATAATAATCATAAT